AGAGTGACTTCTCATTCTTTGAGGTTGGGCAGTGAAGTTGTTAAGTTTTTGTATCAACTTGGCTGGGCAGCTGGTGGTAGTATTCCCCATGATGAGACGGGTAATCAATCAGCTCTGTGCTGGAATCTACTGTGAGCAGCTAAGTAGCTAGCTGCCTTTGGGTATGTGGTCTGCTTCCCGTACATAAGCAGGAGCCTTGGGAATGGTCTCTAGCCTGTGGCACACTTGGACCCTGCATGTAGCTGTGTCCTTGTTCAGCAGCCTGCTATGCTCTGCCGATCTTGGGACTTCCAATGAACTTAAGTTAATGGCCTGCCGTGTGGTTTGGTAACATCGGGACTGTGCCTTTTTACTTGTCAACCTTGGGCTTCCCAGCCTCAGTAGCCAGCAGCTGTCTGAGTGAAGAAAAGCCTCTAGCTCCAGTGGGCCAGGAGCAGGAGGCAGAGCTGGACCCCAAGGTTGAGGGGCTTTCACCCAGCCCCTAGAGCCTGGCACTTTGAACTTGGACTTAAAGCCTCCAAATTGTAAGAATAAACTCCTGTTTGTTAAGGCCATCCCGTCTGTGGCATATTTCTTGTCAGAGCAGCACGAGGGAACCAGAGCAGGCAGCCTCTGATTGGCCATCTCTGTGGAGCTGTGTCTCCTGCCGTGTCCCCTCTTAAGCAGTATGGAATGGAAATGTGTCCTTCCGTAAGTCCCACCCATTGTTCCCTGGTACTTCCCTCTCAGGGCACACCGCTCCATCTGCCCCTCTGCTTGGGAACAGCCTATCAGAAGTCTGCAGACAAGGATTTCAGCCTCCCTTGGCCCAGAGTTCTGGTGGCAGTCGGTGGTTTGAACCCATCAGCCTCTCTGCAGGAGAAAGATGAGGCCGTCTGCTTCCGTAAAGATTTATGGCCATGTTAACCCTATGGGGCAGTTCTCCTCTGTCCTATAGGGTCACTAGAGTCGGAATTGACTTGGGTCAATTGGCTTGGGTGTTTGGTTGGCTTGGATGAGGGCTTCTGTTAAACTTGAGATTCAAAGCCATGGCCTGTTGGGGGGCCTCCTGCCCACCGTAGCCCTTCTCTGCCCAGCTGCTCCCCAAGGGCAGGGATAGCCTGCCGCCCATCCCCGTGTTCACAGGGTGATGAATGGGTTGGGACACTGACCCCACGGCAGCAGCTGCTGGACTGTAGTGGGTACCCTCCTGTGGGCTGTGAGCAGGGCAGGTGGGGGATCACAGCCACCGCTTACTCTGGGGGGGATGGGAGTTCACCTGCTGGACAACACAGGCACCTCAACATCCTTCCCTGCCGGGAGAATCCGGTCCCCACTTTCTCCCATCGTCCTAGGAGGCCCACAGGTGTTGCCCACAGTGGCAACTGGCACTCTGGGAACCAAAGAGAGGAAAAGACCCAGTGCTTCTGCTGGACTGTGGGGCTGGGGGGCAATTTCTAAAAAGCAATGGACATACTGAGTTTTCACTAAGCAAACAGATAGTGGTGGTGGTTGTACATCATACTGAACCTAATCAATGTCCGTGAATTGTACATGTAAAAACGTTGAAATGGCAAATATTTTGTTTTGTATGTAGTATATACACACCACAATTATTCAAAAATAAGAGGGAAAAAAGAAGAAGAAATGGACTCTCATCGCCTTCAACGCTTTACAATGTTCTCTCCTCCCAGGTACTCGGACCTTGAGGCCACAGGTTCAAGGTTGGAAAGTGAATCTCCTATGTCAACTCCCAGGTCACCAGCACACACAGTGCACCTCTCACCACCTCACAGGCGTGTAGACCACAGGGAAATCGCCTCTCTGGGGACTGTGTGTCCCCACCTGCCTTAAGCGCACATCAATTTCATACACCGCCCAGTTACCCTCCCTCAGTGTTTGCATACAAAGCAGGAGGCTGTTCCCAGTTACCCTTACCAGCCTATCACAACCCTGCTTTGTCCATCTGGTCTGAGAGTCACACACTGTCCTATGGGAATCGTGGCTCCATCATACCCAACCCCCAACTGACATCTGAACCCCCTCCATGCTCCTTGACAAGACTCGTCCTTGAACTCCTCCCCTGATGGGGAGCTCACGACCTGTAGAGCAGCAGTCTCTCTTTGTCCAGCTGGGGCCATTAGCAGGTTTGAACCCACCAGCAAGGACATCCCTGAGAAGCAGCGTGGAGTTTGTTTGATTTCCCTCTTCTGTTTTCACACCCTGCTTTGGTCATTCAACATTGTAAGTGTTTCCTTTATGTCATCAGACAATCTTAATTTTGGACGTATCTGCACATCCACGTAGTTACAAATACGCCCTCACACTAGCCATCCCTTTTATAACTGCCATTTCCACTCAACAACAATGCATTGTCCACATCTTCTCCATTAACCTACTCCTCCTTCCTTGCTTTCAGTGCCCACATAACCCTGTATTGGTGAGTGCACTGTAATCAGTCTAATCATTGCCTATCAGGAGGCAGTTAGGTTTCTTCCAATTTTCTGCTATAGTGAAAGATCACAGGATGAAGTCTTTGCACATAGAGATTATTTCCTTAGGAGAGATTCATACGATGGCACGAGAGCGCAGGGGTGTGAGTACTTAATGGGCCCTTCCAGGTGGACAGCAGCCACCAGGTTGAAAGTTACCGTCAATAAACACTGAGAGCTGTGGTGACTGCTTCACCCACATTATCCCGTTTAATGATTACACCCCCAGTGAGGCCTGACCATCCCTGCTCTTTGCAGCTGCTTATGGGGGGAAGCTGGAACAGACCAGGCATCTGGCCCTGTTCTGACCGCCACGCCTCGTGGCCTCTGCAGGGGCTCCTTTCTAGGGTAAGGACATCCCTTCGAAGACCACAAACCGGAAAGGAACTGGGCCTGAGAGGTAACTGGACACCCCCTTGGCGCTGTTGCTGGCCTTCCCAGGCTTCAAGAGGCTTTCTGCAGCCCTAGGAGTTCTGGAAGGAGCCCTAGTGGCACAACAGTGAAGCACTCGGCCGGTAACTGATATGCTGGCAGTTTGAACCCACTCAGTGGTTCTGTGGGAGAAAAAGATTACACCCTAGAAAACCCTATGGGACAGTTCTACTGTCTCACAGGGTTGCCATGTGTCCAGAATCAACCCAGTGATACCCAACAACAATAACAAGGAGGTCAGCAAAGGGCAACAACAGCCCGGGACGAATGAGGGTCGGGGTGAGGGCCGGAAGTCCCCCATCAGGCCTGCCAGGGAGTCCCTCTCTCCATCCAGAGTGCGCGTGTCACTTGGCCACACAGCAAATCCCAGCTACCAGAGCTCCCCTGGGCTTCTTGGGGACGCCCCTGCCGGGACTGGGGCAGGGAGGGACAAGCTGCCACATCAGAGGAGGCCTGGGGTCGCAGGAACAAGTTCCTGGCCCCAGAACCTGTGTCTTTCCAACATGCATTCCCGCTGAGCCAGAGATGTGCTGACCCCCACGTGCCAGGACACTGAGGCAGCATCGCCTATGGCAACAAGGAGACTCAAGGCAGCTGCTTAAGCCAACTTCCCTTTGGTGCAGTTCAACACTGAGCGTCGCTGGGCCGGTGGCCACTCTGTGTGAGCTCTAAAGCATGTCAACATGTCTCATACAACCACAGTTACAGGTCTGTTCACTGCTGTTCATGAGACACACTGTGTAGCGTCAAGGAGAAAAAACGAACCCAACAAACAACAAACTCACTGCCAAGTAAATCACATTCGCGTTCATTTATAAGAAGCCCGACTTCAATCATGTAAAACGTGGGAGAACCACGTGAAGTACCTTAGATGGAAAAGCCAAGTGCAGAACAATGTGTACAGTGTGCCGGTGCGCGTGCCTAAGGGAGGTGCAGTGCATCACAGAGGTTTACAGGCCTAGACAATTCCCGGAAAGATGCACGAGCCTGGTAACAAGGGTGACTGTGACTCTGGAGACCTAGATGAGGAACTGAGCTAAGGGGCAGAGGAACCCTCCCTCCACCCTGACATCATTTGTAAAATTTTAAACCACGCAATCCCGTTTAAAAGGCGCCTCTGTGGCACATGGTTTAAAGCGTTCTGTTCAGCAACTAGAACCCACCAGCCTCTCTGAGGAAAGACATGGCTGTCTCTTACGTAAAGACTGCAGCCCTGGAAACTATGGGGCAGTTCTACTCTGTTCTCTCGCTGTGAGTCAGAATCGACTCCACGGCAAAGGGGAACCCTTTTAAAAA